TGGAGTGGGAGGTGGAATCAGCTAAYAAATACTTCTAGCCTCAAAATTTAGAGACATAAAACACCACCAAAGAAAACCCAATAATTTTAAACTCTAAGTTTCATTTAGACCAGATTTATTTGCTCCTTTCATCAGAATTAATATGAGGTCCTTCTTTTATTCTCCTTCAGCATTCTGATGGGTTCATACAACCTGACAACTGTGCTTTCCTTCACCAAATTCATTCTAAGTTTAAATCTCAAATAAACTCATGTGAAGAAAGATAATGATTGATGAAACTAAATAATTTGGAATTCATTATTAAGCAAAAATGAAAGTTTATCAAAGTAAAATATTTCAGAAGACAAATACTGTATTTTTGTAGTAATTTCTAGTCATACCAGATTAATGGAAAGAGAACCTGGAGAAAAAAATCTTTGAGGGTAACAGGCTACGAAAATGAGAGAAGCAGGGCATAGCAATGTACACCTGTGATTCCAGGAACCGAGGTGGGGGCAACTGAGGCAGGGGGATTGCAAGCCAGAGACCAGTCTCAGCAATTTAGTGAGACTCTGTCTCAAAATAAAAAAGAYTGTAGTTTTGTGGTTGTTATGGTTTGGAAGTGAGGTGCCCCCCAAAAGCTGACGTGTGAGACAATGTAAGAGGGTTCAGTGGGGAAATGATTGGGTTGAGAATACCTTAACCCAATCAGTAAATTAATCCCCGGATGGGATCAATTGAGTGGTAACTGAATAGGTAGGGTGTGGCTGGAGGAGGTGGAGCACTGGGGTGTGGCTTTGGGGTATAAATTTGTATTCGTCAAATGGAGTCTCTCTCTGCTTCCTGCTCATCATGTGACCGCTTCTCTAAGCCACACTCTTTGCCATGATGTTCTGCCTCACCTTGAGCCCCAAGGAATGGAGCCAGCTTTCTATGAACTAAGACCTCTGAAGCTGTCAGCCCCCAAATAAACTTTTCCTCATSTAAAATTATTCTGGTTGGGTCCTTTTAATCACAGCAGCAAAAAAGCTGACTAAACCAGTAGGAAAATGTCCTGAGTTTAATCCCTGGTGGAAGGAAGGAAGAGGAAGGAAGGAAGGAAGGGAGGGAGGGAGGAAACAAGAGAGAAGACAGTTTTGTCTATGAGCAGAATTTCAGGCATTGCTCATCTTCGTTCACAAGGCCGACTGCCCCTTGGGTCACTGAAACATCTGCAGCTCTGGTTGTTGCCTACAGGTAACTCACCAATAAACTTTGAGGCTCTTGCCTAATTTCAATGGATCTTTAAAAATTATTAAACAAATAGTATGATTATTATAGATTTACTGGGGAAAAAATGTAACACTGGATAGCAATTGATGCCATCCTTCTCGATCTGTCCCCAATAAATGCTTCATTTGTTTCCTTGTTACCAAAATCCACATAGCAGTTTTGAGTTACAAGCATTATAATGTGTGGTGTCAAGGAAGGCAGTAAGGAGAGTATGGAAGAGTTCAATAAAAATTCCAGGATTCCGCCAGGCATGGTGGTGCACACCTGTAATCCCAGCAGCTCGGGAGGTTGAGAAAGGAGAATTTGAGTACAAAAAGCCAGCCTCAGCAATGGTGAGGTGCTAAGCAACTCAGTGAGAACCTGTCTCTAAATAAAATATAAAATAGGGTTCAGGATGTGGCTGAGTGCCCCTGAGTTCAATCCCCAGTATCTCCTCCTGCTACACACACACACACAAAAAAAAAAAAAAAAATCCAGGACTCTAGCACACTCTGTCCTCCCCAATGCACCTTAAACATATGAGAAGCTGTTATACTAAGTGACTCTGACATCTAAGCATCCTTTGGATGAAAGCTAAGGTAGAAATTTAGAACAAGCAGGCTCTCCGTGGACCTGGAAAATGAGGAAATATTCAACATACCCTTCCTTTCATTACCACTCACTCTCATGATAGGTGATTTGGCCCCAGTACCTACCAGAATGAAAAGGGTTAGCAGCTAGAGCTAGACAGCACTTAGGTCTATCCTGTTTATGTGCGGATATAAAGAATGAAATGGAACCAAGAAGCCAAGTACCTTCTGGCTCCATCACTTCCCAAGCACAGCTGATCCAATAAGTGTTCAGTGATGTCTTATAGGCCCAGAGCAAGTAGCTTAGTGGGTAAGAACACGGGCTTTGGTACCAAATAGACCAGATTTGCGTCCTGGTTCAAAATGGACAAATAACTTATTCTTTTAAAGCCTTGATTTCTTACAACTTTTAAAAAAGATGATAATCTACTAAATCTTTTTTTATAGTTTTTAGTTGTTGATGTACCTTTATTTTTAATTTATTTATATGTGGTGCTGAGGATAAAACCCAGTGCCTCACACATGCTAGGCAAGTGCTCTGCCACTGAGCCATAATCCCAGCCCCTTCTACTAAATTTTTATTTATTTATTTAATTTTTTTGTGGTGCTGGGGATTAAACCCAGGGCCTTATGCATGCGAGGCAAGCACTCTACCAACTGAGCTATATCTCCAGCCAAAAAGATGATAGTCACACTATCTCCTGAGATCCTTATGAAATGGAGTGAAGTGAGGCAAATAAAATGCTTAGCACTGTCTATGAAAAGTAACCACTCAAATACTCACAATTATTTTGATTGATCATTGAAAAAGCAAAATATAAGGCTCAAAGTAATGAAAGCCATACTAAGAACTAGGTGTATGCACACTAGGTTAGGTGATGGGCAAGAGCAAGAAAAAAGGCAGGCTGGGGATGTGGCTCAGTGGTTGAGTGTTCCTGAGTTCAATCCCTAGTACCAAAAAAAAAAAAAAAAGAAAAAAAAAGAAAAAAGGCAGTAATTCCAACTTCTGCCCAATATTTTTTTAAATGTGCCTAAGCATGGAAACACTGGGAGCCATTATTTCTTTGGGTTAAACAATAGCTCATGAGATAGGTACTCATAAAACCCACTGTTTATGTCCTCTCACAGCCTGTATTGTACTTTCATAGTACTACATCTACTAACGACATAATAAACTCAAAGGTCGATATAAAAATTAACTCAAAATGGATGAAAGACCTAACTAAAATAAGCTAAAACTATAAAACTGTTAGAAGAAAATAGGGGAAAAGCTTCATGACATTGGATTTAATGGATATTTCTTGGATATGATGCCAAAGACACCAGAAATAAAAGAAAAAGTAGATAACCAGCACTATACCAAAATTGAAAGAACACTATCAATGCTTGCATAAAAGACACTACCAAGAGCTGGGCATGGTGGCACATGCCTGTAATAAGCAACATGGGAGGCTGAGGCAGGAGGATCCAGAGTTCAAAGCCAGCCTCAGCAACTTAGTGAGAAGCTAAGCAACTCAGTGAGACCCTGTATCTAAGTAAATTATTAAAAAAAAAAAGGAGGGTGGGTGGGTGGGGATGTGGCTCAGTGGTTAAGTGCCCCTGAATTCAATGCCCAATACAAAAAAATTAAAATAAGACACTACCAAGGAATTGGGCATGTTGGCACATGCCTGTAATCCCAGCAATTTGGGGGGCTGAGGCAGGAAGATTGCAAATTCAAGGTCAGCCTCAGCAACTTAGCAAGGCTCTAAGCAACTTAACAAAACCATGAGTCAAAAAATAAAAATGGCTAGGAATGTGGCTCACTGGGTAAGCACCCCTGGGTTCAATCACTGGTGGTATAATAATAATAATAATAATAATAATAATAATAATAATAATAATAATAATAATGTAAAATAAAACACCACCATGAAAGTAAAAAGGCAATCTATGGAATGGGAGCAATATTTGCAAATTATCTAATAAGGGGTTAGTGTCCAAATGATTTAAGAACTACAATTAAAAAAAAAAACAATTTAAAAAAGGGCAGAGGGCATGAATAGACATTCTCCAAAGATGATATATAAATGGCCAGTAATCACCTGAAAAGGAGCTCCGTATCACTAATCATTAGGGAAATGCTAATTGAAACCACAGGGAGAGACCACTCCCATTAATATGGTTATTGGGTGGCTATACAAATAAACAGACACAGAAAACAGCACATGTTCAGGAGGACATGGAGAAATTRGGACTCTTGTATACTGCTGGTGGAAGGTAAAACAGTGTAGCCAGTATGAAAAACAGTATYATAGTTAAAAATTTAAAATAGATTTTCCATATGATCCAGCAATACCATTTTGCATATACATCCAAAAGAATTAAAATCATGGTCTCAAAGACATATTTGCACACCTATGTTCATATCCGCATTATTCACAATGGCTGACAGGTGGAAGCAACCTAAATGTCCATCAGTGCATGAGTGGGTAAACAAAATGTGCTACACATACAAAAGAAGCCTCTGAAGGAAATTTTAACACATTCTTCAACATGGATGAACCCTCAAGATGGACATTCTGCTGAGCAAAAGGAAACTAAGATACTCTAAGAGATTTGATTTTGAAGGATCAACCTCTGTATGATTCTACTCATAGGAGGTATCAAGAGTAGACAAATTCAGAAGGATAGAAAGTATAATAGTGGTTGCCAGGGTCTGAGGAGAGGGAGAAATTGGGAACTAGTGTGTAGTGGGCATAGAGTTTCAGTTTGGGAAGATGCACTTGTTCTGGAGATGGACAGTGGCAACAGGTGCACAGCAATGCACATGGACTCGATGGCCCTAAACTGCAGGCTTAAAATGATTAACATGGTAAGTTTTATGTTGGGCGTATTTTACTACCATTTAGAAGAGCTATCATAATCTGATTCCCTCAAAATTAATCCACAAGAATGTAGAATAATTATGCTTCAACTGTTTTATAGTTCTACTTTAGGTATCCCTACTTAAATCTAGGTAATGATTTTTTAAAATTTAGACTTAGGTGCATAAGGGGAAAAGAACCATGTCTTTAATGGTGTGCTAACGTCACATTCACTTACTGAGGAATGTGATTTTCTTTCGTTGCCAAGACAGCAACTGTTGCTGTGGAAACCACACAAAAACAGGGACACTTCACTGAAACAAACTCCACTCACCTGCACAAAGATGCCCTTGCTTCTATACTCCTCATGGAGGCACTGAGAGAAGAAATCTACAAAAGCCTAGGGAGGCGGTGGGAGGGAGAAGAAAACACATTACATCAATCTGCCTCATTTGTAGCCATGGAAACAAAAAGTAATAAACTACTTAACACCATCATTTCTAATCATTCTTTCATTTCAAACACAGGAAAGATGTTTAAAAAAGCCTTCCAAACCTCAAGTGATTTTTATCTGCCACCAAATGAATCCTACAGACCCAAATTTTCATTTAACTGGAAAAAGCTCTTCTTAGTCTGTATTTTTTTMAAAAAATTATTTTCTAAGAAAAAATACTTTTATATTATTAAAACAAAAGATGTACTTCTGCTCTCTACTTGTAACATAAGCAGACACACAATATGAATTCTCTCCTATGGGGGATTCTGTTGTGAAAAGGAGAAGAGCAAGAATCCTCTGGATTCTTCAAGGTGGCAAAATCCAAGAAGCACAGAGATGAAAGTGAGAGTCCATCTTCCRATAAATAATGCAACTTTAAATCTATCCATTGACTTTCTCAAAGATGAACTCAAGCTGGGATCTGAAATGCAAAGTACCAATATAGACTTCATGAAGGTCTGAATTGCAACAGTCTGCATCCATGGAGRACAAGCAGGAAACTGAAGTTGACCGATCACTTCCAACACATGCCATCATTGTAAACATGTCTATGGTATGTTTCAGAGATACTGAAAGCAAGTCCATTGCAAAGATTGTGGGGTGATGTCAAGGTTCTTAAAAAAAAAAGTAGTGACTGAGGTTTTTTAAGTGAAAAAGGAAGCAAGTGGTTTGCTCTTTTCCTTCACTGGCATGTAGCAAGTTTTTACTATGTATTATAAGTTGCTTATTTCRCCCTAAAAGCTTATTTAACTTCAACATCTAAATAGTCATTTTTCCCTTTGGAAATGTATTCCATGCTCAATAATGTATTGGAACATGATGCTACTGACCTGCAGGCAGAAGAGATGCATTCTATATATTATTATCCTAGCAGTAATGTGAGATGAATGGAGATGTTGTACGAAATTATGACAAATTACACAAAGTCTGGAAAATTCTTGTTCACACCCCAGAAGTGACACTGTATATCTGTGAATTCTGCATAATGTGACAGAACGTTACACTTTCCCCAGTCTAGGTTGGCATACTGCGTACATTTATGTGCTGACTGGATGCAATTCTTCGAAAATTGCTGTGTGAAWCTGACTCATTCACATATCAAACCTCCAATCTCAGACTCATTAGCATCATGTTCCAATTAAGAGAGTAACTGGCCCAGGCTAGCTCTCCATGGAAAGCACAGTATCACTTTTAAAACCAGTAAATAACTGGGAGGAAAACAAGCACCAGCGGCTCTGATGTGCTGTTGTCCCATTTGTAAGTTTACACCTATCAGTATGTCTCCAGCTGTGGCTTCCCCAAAATTCATGGGGGGTATTCCTTTTTCTCTTAATCCATTGGAAAATTGCCAAGAATAGATATTCAAGAAAGTTAAGTCTATGTTAGTTACTTGGATTAAAAAATCATTCCTTAGTCTTATAATGACTAAAATTTACTAAAATAAATTCACCTTGGTCGCAGAGTAGATGGCCAATAGTGGAACCGGAAACATGCCACTGGCAGAGGAGATGTTCAGAATTGCACCTTTAGACCTAAAAAGGAAAATGTGCCAAGTCAATGGAATGAAATCACATACACAATTGTGTGTGAACTGTAGACTGAGATGTATAATTATTTGAAACAGAACAACATAGGTACTCTTCTAACACACAGCTCTCCCTGCCTTTCATCAGTGAGTGATATGCTTGGTTAGTGAATGAGGCGTAATTCAATCAAACTAAAAATAGCTCTTCTTTATGGTGAGTTCACTTCCCAGTCTCAGTAATCCAGAGCATGATGGGATCAGACCTATTCTCATTGAGCTGATCTCTTATTTCTGAGGTCTTCTCTGGTCAAAGCATCAACAATGTTCATTTACAGAGCTGAGGGTAAGTAGCTCAGTGATAGAGTAAGTGTTTAGCATGCACTGGGCCCTGGGTTTGATCTCCAGAAACACACACACACACACACACACACACACACACACACACACACACACACACACACTCATTTATAGATGCTCCGTACATGCACCTTTATTGTGGAATATCATCCCACACTAGCTTGCTCTAGGATTTAAAGCATTCTATTTGCAAAAATATGTTACCCTTCAACAAAATCATAAACTTCTGGGAACTGAATCCCACTTTTCTTCAAGCACTATGCAAATGTAGAGTATGGAACAAACAGGTGCTTAAGAAAATCTCTGACAATGAATGAATAGCTACATCCTGCCCTCATGTTTTCCCTGGTTTGTAGATATCTGGGCACCAAAAAGCTGACTCCACAACTCTATGGCTCTAGTTCAYTTATGTGTTCTTTTGCCAAAAGCCAAAGCTTGATTCCTTTTTTAACTTTTAGAGACTACTTCCAGTTAAAAGTCAGAAAGTTACCTGGATTTTCTAATTCTATAAGCAAATGAAAAATAGTTTGAGAAAAGCAATGCTGTGAGCCTACTAGCTGTTAGCAAGCACATGCTGGTAGGAAACACATACAATCAGGACTTCAGGACTGTTAGAACTAACAACCAACTCTTCCCCTCATTCTGTTCTTCTGAGGGGTTCTCTCCCTGTGCTGGGAATTGAGCCCAGGGCCCCACATCTGCCAGGCAAGCCTCTTCTACTGAAGGTCCTCTTCTTCAGCTACTGAAATCGGACCCCACCCATGCCCCATCCTCCACAGCAGGTTCCTTTGCTTCAACCCAGTTTTTCATTCTTCTTTGTCTCCATTTATTTCCCCAAAGCCTGTTTTTTAAAAGTATTTTTAAAAAGGGGGACTACCTAGACCCTTTTTAGGCAAAATAAGAGAGGAAACAAGATTAAATGGCATCTAAGTTATTTCAGAAATAAATCTGAAAAAGAAATAATCCCCAAAGGTCACCCGCTCCATCTGCCAGCCTCTAGGCAAGATGCCACTCCAACCATCAAAGGGAAGTCTGGATCCTCAGTTTCATGTGTCACCGGAAACAAGCTGGTGGTGCTTTGTGTATTTCTGTGGTGTGTGTGTGTGAAGTCCTTATTAGTAATACATACGTCTTTAAACAGTAAAATCCATTAACGTTTGATGATAGAAATAAGATTAAGTTTAAAAATGCTATTAAGGGTTTTGAAAAAAGCCATTGATGCATGAATTACATCATTCTTGTATTTTTTTTCTTCTGTCTCTCTCAGAAACAGCAGAGCCTTTTATTTTTTAATTTTAAGGTAACTTTATCAGGAGTTAGAACCCAATCCTCTAAGATTAAAGAGAAAAACTGATTAACAATGAACACCTAGTCATTTCATTTTATCTATATTTGTAAGAAATTCTTTTGATAAAAATGGAATAAAAATCACTTTTGTTACAGGAGACTTTTAATACAATATTAATTTATCTTTAAATTATTTTCATATTTTTAGGATGCTGAAATTAGATCATGGTGATGGCTGCACAGCTCTGTGAATATGCTAAAAACCACTGAACAATGCACTTAAAATAGACAGATTTTAAAGTATGTAAAATATATCTCAATACATCTATAAAATGAGAGAATACATATTTACGACACATGAGAATGCATCACCTTTAAGCAGGGTCAGATCCCAATCAAGGGAAAGCTAAAAGAGTGACTCTGTGGTCTACACCACGGTGTGCTTTCCAAGAAGTAACCCCAAATCCTGACCAATGAACCCCTTTTTTCTCATATAACCAAGAATTGTTATCTCCTCACTTATACAGAGCAAGTAAAGAGAAGGCAGCTTGAGGAAGATATAGATCATGTTTTTTCACTGACGCCACTGTCTACCTTTGCTGGGTTTTGTTATCTGAATTCTGTACTCTACTCCACTCACACTAGAGGGAGTGGTTGTGTTTGCCCTTGAACAAAAATCTTACATTTCTTACTTCATTTCTCGCAAAAAAAAAAAAAAGCAATTTAAAAGCCTTTATAGGTATGTTTAACGTTATCAAATACTTCTTAAAAATTAAATCTTGAACTCATTCAACAAGCTCTTAAAAATTTTATTCAAGGAAGCCATGATTCCAACATTAAAGATAATAAAAGCTTCTTTCCCATTTTCAAAAATTATTATCAATAATGCAATAAGTCACAATCATACAGTCATGCTCCTTCACTTGTTTACTCCCTGAGGCAACTAAGATCTTTGTTTCCCAAGTATTCTACCCTGATTTAAAATTCTAGGGGATAAAGTTACTTTCAGCAAAAAGTCAGAATTTTAGGTTACTTTGTATAAAGCACAGTATTTGCATTTTAAAATATGTTCAAACAAATCTAAGACTATTCAGATGCTACATAAAGTGAGAATGTATCACACCTAAGAAGAGGACGGCATTTACAATTATACCCAAATGACAGCAGAGAAAGCACCCCCTCTACAAATCTGTTCTACCATCAAGAACACGTATTTGTCAAGCAAAAACCTCCCCACACCCACAACAGCATACAATTCTGTCTCAGTCTCACTCTTTTTCCAAGGATAATACTATTCAACTTAGTTTTGTCTGAATCACAAATAACACTGGTACTGCTTGTCTCGATTGTCTACTGTATACACTATCCTTTATGTTGAAACGGGCGTGAACCTTTGGGACTGGAAGGCACAAAGGATTCGTCTTTAAAAATCAWCGACTTTGTCTAGCTCTAATCCTCCATCTAAGCAGAATTAGTGACGTCAAACCAGTTTCCATGGCACAGCCAGACTCATGACAACTCTGTTATATCAAGCAGAAGGACAAAATGGGCTGTGCTTAATTGCACACAGAAACAAACATAAAACCAAACCCTGGTTAATCTCTCATTTTCCAGGGACTTGGGAATAATTCTAAGATTGGGAGGTACATTAAGAATTTTTTGCTGAAGTTCTATAATGAAGACTCACTCATGTTGCTCATATTTCAGCACATTTTCTAGTTTGTTATGACAAACATCCAAATAAACAAGTCAAGAAATATTTTCTGTGGTGCAACATTTTTAATTCATCATACTGCTTACTCGCTAACAGTCCACAGTGCTGTCTCAGTGGTGCAAATTACTGAGGATCTACTAGAACTAAAATATTGCAAAAACAAAGCAGAAAATTTTAACTGCTAAAGAAGCGCCTCTCTTCCATTATGAGTCCTCCCACATGCCAAGCAAACTCACCCAACCCTATAACATTTAGAACCCTGCCTTTATAGCTTCTTATAGCTATGCGGTCTACAATTCCCTCAGACCTGTGCAATTTCCCATAAGGCTCTCTTTAGTAGTCACCTGAATAAAAAAACCTGGCAAGCTTCTGTCCTACAAATGTCCCACCATTCGTAGTATCCTTGCTCTCACCTCTTTAAAAAATACTATTGTCATCAGGAAGCAATAGGTCTCCTTTGAAGTAAGTCACTGATTTCTGCCTTCCTGGGGAAACCTCAGCACTGCCCTACTCTGCAGGTGAAGAGGTGGAGGTGGGGAGGTGTAAATGCTACTGTGAAGAACTGGAACCACAGGGTCACTCACGGTAGGGACAGCTACCTTGTGCAGGGTTTGATGGCAGACCAGAGGGAATATGCAGAAAAGACTCCACCATAGTTATTCACATTCCCACTTCCTATCAGAGAGGACATAAGCATGCTCTTATAGGGTCATTATATATATATATATATATATATATATATTTTTTTTTTAAACAAACGTAATGCTGACTTTGGTGTAGAGAGTTCTCAGAGACTCTCAGAAGACAAGAGAAACGTACTGAAATAGAGTTCTATGTCAGAAAAGAATCCTGGAACATAGGGGTCAGGTATATAATTAGAGCCAGCAATTCAAAAACTTACATTATACAAATATTGCTTTGTTGAAGAAAGTTTGCAAACATTTAACACATGAAAGAGATTTACCTGCCCTAAAACACCGTAACATGTCATAATTCCACCTTAAGCAATACAATATGAAAGAGGCTATTTTTAGCCTTTCCATGGTTGTTATGGCAACCACCTCCTGGCTCCAGCTGTACACAATGTTTATAATTCCAAGGAAGTAAAAAGACCGAGTTTCCTCTGTAATGCAATTATGTACTTTCTACTTCTATGGTAATAATACCTTAGTTTGATTATAGATACTTGTTTAGTGATAGTCAGTTGGCCCTAGGCTATAGTTCTAGAGGGTTTGGAAAATCTCATACATGAGAGGCAGAATCAATGAAAGGAAAAGGGAAAAAAAAAAACACAACAAAGCCTCTTTCTAAAGGATACTGCTGTTACTCAATGGAGATACCAATCCTATGAAACCAGCTATAGGAAACGGGCCATTTTGGGGTGGTGTAAAGAGCAGGCTATAATGAAACCACTTATAATGTGTAAGACAGACTGCTTTCAGGTAACCTGTTCACTTGGAGTTTTCGTTGGGACACACAACTAACACTTCTGGCCTTCCTTGTAGTTAACGGTAGCCTGTGACCAACTGAGTTCTTGACAATGGAAAATGGGCAGAAGTGATGGATACAACTTCCAGGCTAGCCCATGAAACCCCCCTAAAATCACCCTGGTTCTCCTTCCCTCATGTGCATGCACAGGAGAACCTAAACAATGATGGAGCCCTTAGCTGGAAGGAGTTTAAGATCTCTGAACGACTAGGGAGAGATGTGAGGGAAAAATAAATCTTTACTGTGTGAAGCCTACTGTCTGTTCTGCAGTTAGACTATCCTGATTAAAATACTGAGCAACTCCCTAAACTCCAGTGGACGTAGATGTTGCTTCCCCTAATCAAAAGCTCTGATTCACAGAATCCATGCCCGTCTCTCACTAGTCCTCAGCAAGTACCACAATCGCCCCCATGATGTCAGTGTCCATCCACAGTTTCGGATGGCTTTCCACCAGATCACTTCTCAATTCTGGTTTAAAAATCAACTTGACTTCTTCAGGGCAAGGATATAAATCATCTTTGGAATGCTCCATAGTAAATTTTACTCAATGGAATGCCTGTTAAATGTATGAGTTCTTTTCTTCACACTTTTTTTTTTGTTTAACCTAGTGTTCTAACTATAACTGACAATGGCTGCTAGGTCTTCCAAGACAGCAGTGAAGTTCGTAACTCTTCACATTTGTAATCTTTACTCACTTGTCATTTAACTTTATAGCACTCCATTTGTCTGGACATAAGTTTTTTTCACCTCTCAAATTGGGGGGTTGCTTTCAACTAACATAAAAGACTAGATTTCTATGACTCTCTGTATCTAGTACTTGATGTTTTGTGAAATGATTTCACAACCATTATCCCTTCTGATATGTTTTTCACCAAAACACTCAAAACTTTCTTTTACAATACTTCTGTGGTTTACAAGTTTTTGTTTTATTTATTTTTTTGAGGTGATGGGGATTGAGCCCAGGGCCTCACACATGGGAGGCAAGCATTCTTCCACTGAACCACACCCCCCCACCCACCTATTTTTTTAATGGATGGATTTATTGTCTTCAAATAATACCATATCATCTGCAGATGTTAAACCTTAATTAAGATGATGGGCAAAATTTCATTCTTAATGAGTTCTGTTCTRTCTTCCCCAACTCTGCCCTCTTCCAGGGTTCTGCTCTGGTTAGATCACTGCTATTCCCTGTCTGGAGATCAGTAGCACACTCCCACTGGCAGCCAACTGTAAGTGGCTTGAAAGTTTCAAAGGGAAATTTACAAAAATAAACTACTACAACACACAAAACAGTATATATAAAATGGATTTACAAAGAACTTTGCTGAGCAACAGTTTCTTAATTAGTCTCTGTAGATCCTCATCTCTAAGAGTTACATGAGTTAACACATATTAAATTGTCAATACAACACCTGGCACATAGAGGTCCCCAAGAAACCTAATCCCCGCCAGGAGCTGGTGGTGGAACTCCTCAGCAGAAGTCAGTCCTCGGGTCCTTCCTTTCCAAAGCTGGGATTTCTTTGGCTCTCTTCCAAACTCAGAACAATTTGCAGAGGAAGGATGATTATGAGGCCAAATGATCAGACTGGTTCAAGGTTTTCTTTGGAGGCCTTGCCATCACTGAGGTTTTTCCAAGGGAGGAATAGAGCTTAAGTATAATTTTACACTTCATGTTACTTCAGCTGTAAAAGCTCTACCACATGGTCTTCCTTAAAAATGAAGCCATCCAGCACACCCTAGTGGTTCTCAATTCAAACTGGAACACAGATGAGACCAGTGGACCCTGATCTTAGGATCACTTCCTAACATGCCTGAGCTCCTCACACATCCATTCTCCTAGAAAGAAGTGGAGAACCAGAGGCATCTTGCTTCAAGAAACTACTGATGTGGGCTCTCAGGAGGCAGCTTTAAGATGGCATTCCCAGGAATATCCCAGGAACTCCTCCCGCCCCCTCAGAATAGCAGGCAATTGAGTTAGTGATGGTGACTCAGGCTGGCTTTTTAATCCTGATCTAAAGGAACCACCACAACCCTGAGAGGGAAATAAAGAGTCGAGTGGGAAAGGCCTCCTCCAGTGACTCACACTCCACCGTGTGACTCGCCTGCCACTAAGACATGGAGGCTGGGCTCATTAGTCACTTTAATGAAATTTTCAAAGAAAGGATTCTCCCTATAAATAATAATGAGCTCCACATCCACAGTGTGTGTGAGAGAGCTTGTGACTCACCTTTCTACCATGCCAGGCAGCACCACTCGTGTCATCTGCAAAAAAGCAAACAAAACATGACGACTGAGGACACAGCAACAGCGTGAAGGACACCCACCCACACAAGAGAAGGGAATCACAAAGCCACTCAGCACTCAGACAGCACCTTATTTTATATACTCTATATAATCTGGCTGTGTCAAGAGTGCATAAAAAGGGCAACACATGAAATTACTAGAGGTGACACAGAATACTTTCAGTGAACTTGGCTAAAATTACTTGCCTGAAACACAATACTGGCCCAGGAGCTTCAAATAATACAGGATTTACAGTGAAATTGGTGGTTCCAGAAATGTATTCTCAGAAAAGGACATATGTTATCACAAGAAAGATCCTGCCTACCAAGATTACTGAAGTTTTCTAAACTCAAAAGCTCAATCTTCTGATTTAAAAAAAAAAAAAAAAAAAAAAAAGCTTTAGCAGAACGCTATAAAGTGTCATGTTGGCAAATATTAAGTGTATATTTCACTTAGTAATCATTTCCTTTGTTAGTCCCGCTAGTTGTAAAATTCATCCTTACAGAAAGTTAAGGTTATCTGTGGTCTCCAGTGGCCACCAATGAAAAGGTAACATCTGCATTCTTTGAGGACTTCATAACTGTGGCTAAATGCATATAATGATGAGAGGCTACTTTTAAATTCTGTTTTGAGATGTTCTTAAGAAGAATAGTTCTGAAGACCAATGGGTTAGCCAAGATGACACCAGGGGTAAGAACTGAGGCTGGAATACAAATTCCTGACCCTGGGTAAGAGTCAAATTCTGGGCTGAGGTTGTGGCTCAGTGGTAGAGGGCTCGCCTAGCACACGAGAGGCACTGGGTTCGTCCTCAGCACCACATTAAATATTTATTTATTTACTTATTTATTTATTTAATAAATAAATGTTTTGTGTCTGTCTGCAACTTGAGAAAATATTATTTTAAAAAAGAGACAAATTCTGTTTTGTAATACTAAAGTCAGAATGCATGCCAAAGTTTTAAACTTTCTGTCTTGAATATTACATATTAATTAAAATGCACAGTATTTAGATGGGAAGGGAATCTTTTTGTCTAGAAGCACCCTACAAAAAGAAAGCACCACCCAGACTTTGCCCAGGTAAACTCTGCTTCATGGGCATCCAACCCAGATGTCAACCCTAGAGGTATCACATACTTTTCAGTGAAAATGCAAGTTCAATCTGACACTGTGTCACAAAAGATGAATCATATACTGCCAATTTCAAAACAGAGGTATGTCCTCAAAGCACAAGGGAATCACTTCAACAGAGTTCATCTTTTGGCCCACATGAAAAAGGAGAAAGCAAAGAACGAAAAGGCCTAAAACTTTCCTATTGCCCTTCTTAACATACACGTCTACATTTTTTATACTAAAATGGCTAAAATGTGAACATGCTAAAAGGATGTAGGCCAGCTAACTTAGAACTCAAGGTGAGAGCCATGTGCTAACAGTGGCAGAGCAATGAGATAAAAAGAGGCAGGTTTCCTGGTGACTGTGGAGCTGCTGTGACAAACCTTGATTACCTACCCAGCTTTGCATCGGAGACAGAAATTTCTGTTTTGTTTAAGCCACTACTGTATCTAAACCAATATTCTAATTAATACAGTTGACCATTTGTTTTGATAATGACTGATCAGCGTTCACATTTTAAGACAAAAAAAAAAAAAAAAACTGTCCCCAAACCAGCTGTGCTGGCAGCCCAGACTCAACAGTTCAGAGTTTTTAAAACAATTCCACCTTTTCTCTTTTCTGGGTTTGCTTGACCCCATTCAAAATGTGCCGACTGGGCTTCAAACCAAACCTTATGGAACCGAGTCAGAGAAAGAGCCGATTTCCCAGCCTATCCTGTCAGCACAGCCAGCTGTTCTCCTCTTGGACTGAGTAAGAGCTCTTCAAGTTGTTTACACATTTCCTAAGACTTGTCCTTTTTAGAAGCACATAGTAACTGAATTGCTACTTAATGCAGGTGTGGTACCTGGTTAGATCACAGTCCTAATCCCAACCCTTGAACTAACTACTGGTGTGACAGCTGTTCCTTCTCTGCAGTGTCCCAACGCAGTCAATGAAGGAAGTGTCTACACTACAGGTTACTATATTCTGAATCTCAAAAGAAGGAATGTGTATAATGGAATGAGCACAGAGAGAAGCACCTGAAGGGAATTGGTGTCCTTTATTGTCAGCCTGCATTACCCTTTTAGGAAGCAACACCACCAACTACCTGGTCCTACCTTCATACATGGGGCTCCCCAGATGGCCCAGAGCCAAAAACAATGGCACATTGTGAGGTTATCCAGTTCAGTTATTCACATAGAAGTTGCTGGCCAATTTTATTAATATTTTTAAATACCTTAGTTGGAATCTTCTTGGGGGTAGTTGAATTATCCTAAGATTAACTCATAATGATGACTATACAACTCTAAATGTACTAAAAACCACTGAACTACCTACACACTTGCACATTTTATGGTATACAATTTAGTCCTCAATAAAACTGCTTATGAAATACCTCAATAATCATACAGATAAGAATTAAAGAACTGAAATTACATTTGATGTTACTTTCTGGGTTCCGTGGTACATTCCTATAATCCCAGCAATTCAGAAGGCTGAGGCAGAAGGATCACAAGTTCAAAGCCAGCCTCAGCAACTTAATGAGGACCTAAGAAACTTAGTGAGACCCTGTCTCAACATAGACAATAAAAAGGGCTAATATTGTAGCTTTGTGGTTAAGTGCCTCTAGGTTCAAACCCTTGTACCAAAAACCAACCACCACACCAACAGCAACATCAAAAATTTGATGTTACTTTATCAAACCTAGGACGTAAAAAGTCACTCAAAGTGTTCTATGCATATCAACTTATAGCCTGGAACAATGGAATAACACCATGTTATAGCCTCTCTCTTTCACAGTTTTCAGGGATTGAACCCAGGGCCTCTCACATTCCAGCCAAGTGCTTTACCACTAAGCCCTAGTCCTGTTATAGTCATTCTTGGGTTCAGCTGAGGTCATATTATCACCCAGAACCACACTCGATGTTGAGGGCTCAGTATCTAATGTGAGAATAGATATATACATAAATCATTATGTGATGATTCTCCGAGTGGATAGAGGGCACTGATGCTTAGAAGGACCAGTTATGCCTGGGAAACAAGTAGAGCTTCACAGATTAAAACATAAAGTTTACTAGACAGAAAAGAAATTCCAGTAGAAGGGATAGAGTGTAAAAAGACATACAACTTGTGAGAAAATAAAATATACGTTATAGAATTGATGGATTCTAAAAAGTTATCTACTGGATGAATGAATTAAACAGATAAAGAAATAAAGTATGTTCATTTGTTAAATATGTCATGCAACTTACGTTTGCATAAAATATCATGAACAGCTTCTCACACTAGTAAAACAGATGTACATGAGGTATGTCAACAGCTGTGGGATATTTTTTGGTAAAGATAGATTATATGTATTCTTAATGGTATCTAAACACTTTTTTCTATTTCGCATATTTCACCAGAGGGCCATAATGCTTAACTAATAATGTATAAAGAGGGCCCCCAAGTATTTTGTCCTGAGATCACCAGAAACAGAATGGGGAAGAGGACTGGTAATAAAAATGTCCTAACCTGTGTGTGTGTATGTGTGTGTGTACATGTCCATTGGTGTTAAGGAAACAAGACTTGTAAGTTGCTAAATAAAGTCTGGAAGGGGTAGATAGTGCCTATTTAGCTTTCCCATACAAAAGAGAAGAAAAGAAATGAGATTTATAGGCCAGCAATCAATCTGGAGAATGACCAGGAAAGTCTACAAGATCAGCTAATCGACAGACGCTGGCCAGGAATCCTAGTACTATATGAATACTACTAAGTAGTCACAAAGTTTTGAAGTTCAACTCAGTTTTCTTCCTAGATACAAATTTATACATTTAAGAACAATAAAACCTTTAGTTGGAATATTGGGGGAAATACAAATACATATATCAGGAACTATTTTTTCCCTTATACCACGTGCATGCCATATTAAATGACTCATTCCTGAATGGCAAAAATTGTCCAGAAAATGATCAGAGAAAATGAATCCCTATAAGATATAATCATACTAGGCACAGTGGCACAAACCTGTAATTCCAGCAACTCAGGAAAGGAGGATTGCAAGTTCAAGGCCAGCCTCAGAAACTTAGCAAGGCCCAAAGCTACTTAGTGAGACCCTGACTCAAAATAAAAATAAAAAACAAAAAAAGGGCCAGGGATGTAGCTCAGTGGTAAAGCGACCAGTGTTCAATCCCTAGTACAAAAAACAACAATAACAATAACAAAAATCTTGCTTATAAAATTATTAGTAGCACGCTAAACATTAAATGCTTTCTTGATGGTTTATGTGTATGCACATGATAAAATATATATTTTATACATATGAATTAGAACTCAAGAAGTTTTAATAGCGCAAGTTAGGAAGAAATAATGCTTTTGATGCTCAGCTATTAAAGACCCAGAAATAGGAGCTGGGCTGTAGCTCAGTGGCACAGTGCTTGCCTAGCACTTGTGAGGCACTGGGTTCCATCCTTAGCATCACATATGTAAATATAAACAAATACAACAAAGCGCCAGAAATACTTGTTGAATGCTTACTGGCCAAATGATTCATCATCAAAGACACACTTTCTCTTACGGAGAAGTTAAATTCTTCCTTATAGCTCATTAGCTTCCCTTTTTAAATTCTAAGTTCTTTCGCCTTGCAGGAAAATGGAACACTATTTCCTTACCTGTCAAATAATAACATTGAAAAGACTGAAAAAACTTGAAATCTGTATGCTTCATAAAACTAATGCCTTCATCTATTCTAAAACTATCTTTCTTTCTTTCTAATCAGATTGTCTTAATACATTCAATTTTAAGCCTTCTTTGATTGGGTATTTGTACACAAATCCTTCTTAATAGTCTATGCATAAGTGGAGATTTCTTTCACTATGTTCACATTAAATAAAAATTCTCTTTAACATAGAG